AGGAGACAAATTTGGATTCAGAGAGGGAGAAAAGCTACTATGCTGGAAATGAGAGCTTTAGCCCCATCGTGAGGAGAACAAGGAGAGGTGCTCCCCTAAGCATTCACACACACCCCCTCCCCCCCCCCCCTTATGCCAGGGGGTAAAGGCAGAGGGACTGGTGATTATCAAAGTGGCATTTTCTGTGTCAGATTTACAAGCCTGGAAAAAGTTAGCCAGAACCTATAGGGAAGATCCTGAGAAAGCATCTAAAGTGATAGAGACGATTATTAGAACACAAGACCCAGACTGGAATGATTTACAATACTGAATACTTTGGTAACATATGATGAGAAAAATATGGTGCTGGCAAAAGCAAGAGGCAGAAAGGATCCTTGTGCAGAAGGCCCAGCAGGGGTCAGTGGACCACCACTCCCCCTTCACAGACCCTAAGTGTGATCCAAATGTTCCAGCTGAATAGGATCTATTAACCAAGTATCAATGATTGATTTTGTTTGGAATGAAACACACAATTCCTGAAGAAAATAATTACATCAAGTAGTACAGGGGAAAAGGGAATCTCTGTCTGCCTTGTTATGAAAGACTTATGGCAATCAATGGCTAGGAAGTATATTGATATGGACCCTGAAAAAGATGATGCAGCACAATTATTGAACAATCAAGTCCAGATATTAAACACAAGCTGCAAAAAATGGAATAGGGAAAGACAACTGTTGGCTGTAACTATCACATAGGAAATCGGGGGTGGGGGGGTGGGGGGGGCCGACGGCCGAGGAGAGAAGGGTCGGGAATAAGGATTACATGGAAATACTTGTGAACAGACTCCATGGGTTCACTGTGACAAGGATCAGGGTGCAATTTGTAACCAGAGGGGGGCACTAGAAGAGAGAGAATGCCCTGAGTCAAAATAAATACCAAAGATTCAGTGGAATGACAGGACAGGCAGTGAAAATTATTAGTTTAGAATAAGACTGCGGAGGACTTGGGGAATATTTGAAATCCTAGGTTCAGAAATAATAAGGTAAAATTTCCAGTAGACACGGGAGCTACCTATTCTGTTACAAATACTTGTAAAGGCCAATTAAGCAAGCAAACGGCTTCAGTCATTGGTGCTCCAAGCAGAAAGAAAACTGGCCTTTCCTTCAGCCTTCAAAATTGACAAATGGATGTTGACCCACCTGAGTGCCTCATCTAAGCTGTTATTAGGTAGGGTACACTGAGTAAATCACATGCATAAATTACGTTTAAAGAAGTAAAAGTCCAGATACACATTACTGATAAAAAGGCTGTGGAGGCCCAAGTTTTTATGTTACAGAAACCAGCCACCAAGCTGGATACACCAGAGGAAGTGGAGAATGCAGTAACTCTGCTGCGGTGGGTTGCTGGAGTACCAGGATGATCAGACTATCTGCCTGAAACCAAACGTCAGACCAGTAAGACAAAAGCAATATCCTATAAAACTGGAAGCAAGAAAAGGACTAGAGCCTCTAATAGAAAATTTTATTGAATACTTTGGGACAAAAATGGACTGTATTTGTACCTCACATGGTTAACAACCAGCCTGGCATAGAAAAGCAGTCATTGGCTTTCCCCAGGCAAACTGTTAAGAATATCAGGCTGTGCATTTGGACCAAGAGGACATAGAATTGAAAGTAGCTAACCTTCTGAACCCAACAGTGTATCTGACAACCAATCCAGAAGCAGGAGAGCTGACTCACAACTGTTTACAGACTATTGAGCAGGTGTATTTCAGTCAGACCAAACTACAAGCTACACCCCTAAAGGATGTGGACTGCAAGTTGTTTGTGGATGGTAGCAGCTTTGTGAAGAATGGCAGCTGGAAAGCAGGATACATTGTGGTAACCCAACATTAGGTAACAGAGGGTAAAGCCCTGGCCCCCATCACATGAGCGCAGAAAGCAGAGCTGATTTTGCTACTGAGAGCTCTGGAATTGTCAGAAGGTAAAATCATTAACATGCGGAAGGATTCAAAGTCTGCTTTCAGAATTGTTCATGACCATGGGGCTATATGGAAGGGGGCTATTAACTTCTCAGGGTCCCCTGTAAAATATGGGCAAATAATACAGGAACTGCTAAAAGGAGTCCAGCTACCCTGAAAGGCAGCGATAATGCACTGCAAGGCACATCAATCCAGTAATACACCAGTGAATACTGGTAATCGCCTTGATGACAAAGCAGGCAAAGAAGCTGTGGGTGGGGACCTTCTATTAATGTTGCCTATTAAGTATCAGTGCGTGGATAATGAAGTTCCAAGTTATCAAACAAAGGATGAGAAATTGGCAAGTCTATTAGGAGCCAAGAAAAATGGTGAAGGATGGTGAGTTACACCAAACAGGCAAGAAATAATTCCCCAGCCAAGGATTCTGTTAGCAATCCTTAACACTCAGTTTCACAACAAACAGTAACAAAAATATCTGAGCTATGCAGTTTACAGTGGTTTTACCTATGTATCCTACCTTATTCTTTCTGTAATCCACTTTTAGTGTTTACAAAACAGGTAGGTACAAAACAAACCCCTGTACTCCTGACTGCAGTATATCCAACCATCTGCTGGAACCCACCAAACATTTAAGCATACAGCATCACAAAACATGACAGAAAAAACAGGGGTAAGAATTGCATTCCTTTCTACATAGTATAATTTCTTTTCATGGAACAGCTTCCTACACGGAGTTTCTGAGAGAAACCTTCTGGGGGAGCACTTCCACACCCTCAAAATAGTAGTGCTTCTTTTTTATGTGAAAAGCAAGAAAGGGAACAGTGACCATTTATTATGCTCCACTGTTGTGTAATTAAATGCTTATTTTGCTGTTCCTATGCAAGTGCCCTCATATTTTCCAACTCATACATATTTCCCTCCAGCACAACTACTTTACATGAGATGCGTTTGCTCTACCACTTTTAACCTAACTGACTGCATCATGTAATCAACAACTGCTTGATGAATTCTGGGACTCTAAAGGTCACCACTTTATTTACCTTTCAGCCCTGGAAAGGAGACAAGAGTACAGAAGTAGAAGGAAGAATGACTGAAGCCAAGTTAAATTCCATTTCCAGTGAATTTATTCAGTTATAAAGAAACTGCCAGTTCCACCATATTTACAAAGGTTTTCAAGAGGTTTTAGAGCTTCTACTCCTACTGATCAACAAGTTAAAAACATATAAACAAACCAAATCAACCACATCCATGATGTCAACTGTAGAAACACCAGTTACCTTAAAGGACCTTGAGGAATACTCAGACACGATCTCTAGAGCTACCACCAAGATTCTCATTTCTTTCTGTAGTCAGCTATGCCTGAAAACCAGGCATCATTATGCCACTGTTGACAGAAACTGGTTTCTGTTCTTCAGTACACACATTTTATGAATGAGGAATTTAACTACATACAACTCATAAGCAAGCATTGCAAGGTATTAAAATAATCTTGAAGAGCACAATGAAATCTCCAGCTGATTCCATTTGATACTTCTGCAAGGTGGTATTGCTGCCAGATGTGCATGTAAAATTTTGTCAAGACTTTGACTTGATTTACTTTGGTTGTGACTCTAAACTGCCCAGGGCACTGTCACTATTTAGATCTCAAGCAGCACTGTAGAAACAGTGCCACCTGAAAACATCACCCTGCTTTTCTTTCTTGCTGTCCACAAATGTATGGATGAATGAATGAATGAATGTAGGGAGCATTACTATTTCTTCTTGCAGCCAAAATGGATGAAGCTGACTGAAAACAGCCTTTCATTCATCCACTTTTCCATTCTCCACTCCATCCCCAGAAGAGATCATGAATTCTCCAAGACGAGAGGACAGAGTACATTTTCCTGTTCAGCAGGGTTCATTCTCAAGTATATTCCAACTGCATCTCAAATCCTGTACAAGTTCTACATTACAATACCACAATGCCTAAGAGATATGGACAAGGCCTGTAAGCTCACACATCTGGATGCATGCAGTTCCCACCGGTAACAGTTGGCTCTGCTTGCCTTGTTAACAAGTCTACAGTGATTTCCACTTGATGCTGAGCTTCACACATTACTCAGTGTTGGGGAAACAATCTAATCACTTGAGTGTCAGTGGCCTTCCTCAAGGCATTGACAGGTGAACATTTGCTGATCAACAATCCAGCTCCATAACACTGACTTGAAAAGTATCAACTAAGATTAGCAATTATTCCTTTCTGGGATTTTAGTTTTCTGTGCATGGAGTAAGTCAGTATCAAGTAGAGTATCAGGGCAGCTACTAATAGAAGTTAAGAGAAAAACAACACTGAAATATCCTTTCTTGTAAAAAGCAAGGGGAAACCTAACAGCTTTATGTTTAAAAAAAATCCAAAACATGTAACTTCACTCCTACCACAAGGGCTACAAAAAACAAAGGCAAAGAGAAGCCGAAGCACCATTCATGCAAGATAAACTACCATCTAGCAAGAAATACTTTACGGAGTATGTGATATGCCAATGCAAGGCAGCATCAGACCTGGAAAGTCTACTTCCATATAGAAGGGGGACTTGCCAGGCCTATCACACTCACACTGCGCTCCTCAAAGGAAAAAAAACACAGAACCTCCTCTCACACTTATGAAGTGAGCTACAGAGCTGCTCATTACAAAGAAGCAGCTACTCCAGGATTTTAAAAGCTTACGCTGTCATCATACCAAGGGAGTTCTCATCAATTTGTCTTGAGATGTAGATAGGCCATGCTGAGAACACATTCAGCTCAAACAGTACACACACAAGTTCCACCCATGTTGATAACTGAGGTCAGAATGAGGTCAGGTTCAGGTGTTGAGACACTGGGTCAGATCTGAATTTAAGTAACAGTTTCATATTTGTAAGGTTGGGGTAAGTCTTCAAAAGTGGTATTATCCTGATCCTTGTGTACATAAAAAGAACAAACTGCCAAACATGCTACACCACACCCAACCAGTGAGAACTGTTTGAATTTAGTGACAAACATAACAGCAAGGCAGGAATTAAGCCATGGTTTTGAGGAGAGTCTTACAGATGAACACGTTCAGGCATGGCAGAATACCCTTTCCTACCAGCATGATGGCTGGATGTGCTGCACCCACTAACATTTCGTATATGCCTTATGCATCTTTTCCACCATCCAGAGAAATTCATACAGAGAATGCCACATAATATTCCCGTGGAACATTTATCAAGAGACCCTTACAACTCAGGAAAGCTTAAAGGGGGATTTTCCTATATTCAGTTTTAGTGAGGTAAACAGGAATTATTTTAACAACCTGACTAAGAGATGATCAAACTTCTAGTACATGTCACTTGAGTGTTTCAAAGCTATTCAGGTCACTCACTAAGTGATCATTTAAACAGTAAGCAGGAAACCTTTGTGCTTAGTTTGTGGACTAAAGTCCGAGTTAAATCCTATTATTTCAAGCAATAAAATGCAGTCATGCTAGGCTTTGCAAAGATGGTGGAGGAAAAGGGATTCCTTCTAGGTTCCTTAAAAACTGGACTGTAAGTGTAAAAACACAGCTATGATTAACTGTAACAGTCAGAAAATCTCTACAAAATTTTCTGGACATGAACTGACCTTGGAAGACTCAAAATAACAAAGGCAAAGAGTTATACAGCTGAAAGTGTTCTGAAAGACCAAAGGAATTCCATCCAGAACAAGTTGTCATGGCCAGTGACACAGAAGAATCATACTGGATAACTCAACTTAGAGCCATTTTATCACACTGTAAAAGTTTTAGTGCACAGAATAACCTGGAGTTATTTAGTCCAGTAAACTGGTGCTTTTCCCCTTAGATTAGGATTGATGACCAGTAGACACCAGCAATATCTCTTCATTTCTGTACTGGGCCACCCTCAATCCTAGATGTGGGGCAGACTGCTCTGCAAGTTTCTATTACCTGAATGATCTCTTGATTTCTTTTTTCTCCCATGTCCATAACCTCATGCTGAGATCTAAATTCCAGTTTTTGAGAGGCAGAGGGTAAATCTACCAACCTGAGACTCAACAACTCTCCCTTCCAATTATTTGTGCTTAAAATTGAGACTTCTACACAGTGCAACCTAGCAGTCATACATAAATGTTGGAAACAGCTGTGTCAGTGACATTTTACTTCTCAACAGCTTTTACTTTCCCTTGATCTTCCACTTTTTTGATGGCAGCTTGGATAGCTTCTTGATCACCCAGAAACTGGTGAGGGCCCAGAGGGCGCAGATTCTCATCAAGTTCAAGAAGTATGGGCACACCAGTGGGAAGAGTAACATTGATGATGTCCTCATCAGAGATGCCTGTCAAACAAAAACAAACAAAAGCACAGTTACACAAAGTGAGCAGCTTTCTAATTGTCTACCTAGCTCAGCCTTGTATCTGAGATTATCTAGTCTTAAAACAAAGATACATTCCAGCCTCCATCAACACCAACACTCAATGACCAATTTCTTAGCTAGACTGAGAAGTCCTTGGTCAGGGTAAGTGCTACTTAGCAACAAATAAAACATCAGTGTGTTATTAGCTAAGTAGCCAGTATAAACAGCCTCTTTAAAAAGGCAGGATACCATGGTTAATTTTTCCTCTTAAATCTTCTATGCAAAGCCGTCTTCAAAATCAGTATTTAATTCTTCTAGTGTAAAGATCCCTGTTTGCCCACATCTGGTTTCTCATAAGCAAGTTTACAGCATCTTGCATACAGTACTACTCTCAGAATTAATAGGCTATTCATTTCCTCTTTCAAATGAGGGAGAAGGAAACAAAGAAAGGGCAAAAAAATACACAACCTGAAACCTTTTCCACTTCACTGAAATAATGTGTACCTGGGTGAGAAAAATTATTCTACCCAGCTCTGTTTAATTAGTCTGGGGCTTTAATATCAATGCATTGCTGGCCAAACATCTCTAACTCATCCAAGTGAATGTTGAGACCAGCTTCCTAGTAAAGCTCCTGCACAAGGTCTACACAGTTGCATTAAGAAGCAGTGGCTGCAAAGACAGTATTCTGCTAAAACTTTAGGCAAAAGAAAGCTAATGTCATCAGAAAAGGCAATACTCCCTACCACCACCACCTTTTAAAAGCACTGAGCTCACAGCAGCAGCCTGCTGTTGTAAAGCAAGACAGCTTCAAGTAATTCATGCTTAGAAAATGCACACACTCAAGCTTCTAAAATGATGACACCATATAAACGAGACCAAGGTGTATGAAGAAAACATCCTCTTGAGCAGCTGACAAAACAGATGGTTCTCAGAACATATGGGTGCAAATTTGCCAGCAATTTACACATTAAGTAGAAAAGCAGAGCAATCATACAGGAAAACCCAGAGTCAAGCCACTTAGCAACAGTTGGATGACAAAAGGTCAGAAAAAAACCAGAACTGATCATGAAGCAAGAATCAGTTTATGCTCCTGCACAGAGAATACTTAAGCACGCAACTTCTGCAGTGACCTATTCCTGTTTTGATTAGCCTTGCTTCAGGCTGTAGATGAGCCCCAAGATTCAGAAAGGCAGAGAGCAAGAGAAACAGACAAACTCTTCCAAGAAGCTTACACCTTGTTATACTGAGGTACCAGCCCATTAAAAGTCACACTGTCCCAGTTCAAGCAATCCCTGCAATACAGGTGTAAATAATTTACCCTTGCAGGCAGCAGAATGAGACCTACAGAAAAGAACTCAAGGAGCTTCTAAAAATTTGTATCCACACAGAAATTAATGGGAAAATCCTAAGTCCCTTTACCAGGCACAAGCACTCTTCTCAAGGACTTTGGTTTTTTGGTTTGCAAAACAAGCAGCCAAGCTGCCTGAGCTTATTTCAAGGATTCTTAATCATACTAGATTTTAGCAACATACATACATCACCATGTAGCCACAGAGAATCTCACCCCCAGAAGTGCTCTGCTCACTTCAAATTCAGTCTCCCAGACTAAACCATTCAGATGTACATAGCAGATGAAGTCATGCAGGAGAATTTAGGCAAACCACATACTGTGGTCAGAAGCCAGGATATTTAAAGGTTTCCTCTAAAGACATATTAAACAAAACTAGCTGTAGCTACATGGATTTAGAAATGTAGTTTACTGTTTCTACAGAACACAAAGTGACCACACCAATGTCAACTAGCATTAATTTACAAAGCAGAGCAGTGCAGTCTAGGATAAACAAGCCGCAGCAAGCACGTTGCCTTTCTCCTCAGGATTCTTCCTCATACAGGAACATTGTCTCATAGCCAGCAGGCTAGAAATGCAAGTCAGATGAAAATTCTAAAGACATTCTGAAGTATCCTGTTGCTTTATTTCAGCACTGTTACTGTATTTGTATAGTATTTCTGGTCTTCAGGAAACAAGGAGCTTATCAGGCTTGTCACACAAGCTCTTCAAGTTGCAGGCAAAACACACAGAACTTTGCAGGCCAGGAGGACAGTAAAGAGATCCCATCTTACACCTCAGCCATCACAAACATGAACTAACTACTATCTAGTTACTTCATGTACTGTAACTATAGCCAAGTGACCTTTTCTTGCTCATCTGAGCTGGTTTGGGTCATAACCCCACCCTATTTCAGAGGGAAGGGTGAAATCAGGGCAAGGCCTCAACTGCTGACTATAAGGTACAATGGGAAATAAGACTATTGAAAAAGGAACATAGAGCCTGGGTCGCAGCATTGATGAAGGATACTGTGTTACTGGAAACAGTTTAAAACCTGCTTACAGCCATGAGATCCCACAGACATCACTGAAGGACTCGGGATGCCTTCTTCAGAACTGATAAAATGCTGATCGGGCAAACTCCATTCCTGAAGTGGAAATCTCACACATTCTCTCATAAGCACTTACTAAACATCATTCCTGAATAGCAGCAAGCAGTTTGGTACATGAACACTAAGAATTTGTTAGAGCACTTATTAAAAGATCTTTTAACATCACATTCAGAATTCTTTCCAAGCTCACTTATGCTCCATCTAACTGAACTGGGTTATCAGACACCCAGACAAGTAACATTTCTGTGCAAGCTTAAGATTTCACCTTTACCTGGTAGCCCATGAAGTGCTTTGAAAAGTGCTTTGCAGCCTGTAAAGTCCTACAAAGGCAAAACCCATCAGGCTTGATTTTGATCACTACAGCCTGCTTCTATAAGGGTTGGCTCAGCTTCTTCTGCCCTCCCACCTGTTCTTACGAAGTTCCTTCCTTCTATTCATATGGCTAAAACACAAAAACAACAACAGCTCTTGAGAAGAGTTGCACACCTCCTCCCCTGCATGTCAACTACACTTGAGGCCAGATGATTCACCCAGCAAAACAAGATCATATGTATAAATTCAGCCACAACAGGCTTGTTCTAGAACTGGTACTTTGTAATTGAGATCCCAATAGGGTCATCACATGCTTCACACAACCTTAATGAAAATACCAAAGCTTCAGCCTAATAATTTAAATATTCAGGGCTAGATTCTGCTCTCTTGGCAGAGGACCTAGTAGGCTACAAGAGGGAGGGCACCTGGCATTCAACCAAGGTCAATTCACCACAGTGAGGCACCAGAAAGCACTGTAAGGGGAATTATCCCTGGCTGGACACAAGGTGGCTACCAAGCTGCTCCATCATTCCTCTCCTCAGTAGGACAGGTAGGGAGAAAGTAAGATGTAAATAACTCGTTGGTCAAGATAAGGGCAGTTTACAATAAATCACAAGCAAAAGCTAGACACAGAAGCAAAGGTAAACAAAGGATTTACTCTCTACTTCCCATCAGCAGGCAATGTGAAGCCACTTCCAAGAAGCAGGGCTTCAGTATGCATAGTGGTTGTTGCTCCAGAAGATAAATACCATATGGGACACTGCTAAGAGTCTCGATCTGAAGTATCTGTTTGATACTTCAGGTAAAGGAGAAAACAATCCCTCCTTCAAAGAACTGAGAAAAATCACCTGTAAATAGATCCGGTGCATCTAGGAGGTGACCAAGATCAGTTATGGGTCATGGTCCACACTAATAGGTGTCACAGTTGCTAAGATATGACGAGATACTTCCATTGCAAACACAAGACTGCTGCCTGAAGACAAAGTTACTTTTAGAGAGCCTTTCCAAGCCTAACAATATATAATGAAAAGTGTCCTCTCACTCTGACAATTTTCAGTTGTGCCAGTGATTCCTGGCATCACCACATACATCAGCTGAAGATAATGCAGAGTAAGTGTTCTGAAAGGACTGGGTAAGCTCAGTTAAAGACTCACTTTGATGTCAACATTGTTTCTTCACCAGGACTGTACGAAGCAGCCCTGCTTGGCCTTGGTGGCATTTATCAAATGCATAGGGGTTACCTAGAAGGAACACAGCCCAGCATCCCCACCAGACACCAACAGCTCACAGCATTGACATCTTCAGCAGCATGATCTAGGAGAAATCTCACTCAGCCCACCAGGAGAGAAGAACAAGCTCTCAGAGAAGCTGCTGTTTCCGATCTTCAAGTGCATACAAAAATATGGTCCAGTTTGCATTAAGTACTGTTTTCAGAAAGACTATGGAGGTTTCACTTAAGTCCTCACATGCAAACATGACAAATAGTACAGACATTTCATATACCATATTTCAGTATATTTCATATAATGAGGTCCTCTCTGGGCACCTAGAAAATAGGAGCAAAATCCAAGCCCACAATCAAAGCCATGTTAGCCAAATATTGTTAGTTTGACGATTTTCGTGTGCAAGTTAGAAAGCAGATCTACATTTCAAGCCCTTTACCAGTTACTTAACAATGAAAACATTCAGGTTCAGAGAACTGCAGGCCTGTTTAAAAAAAATACACCCAAAAAACGTTACTTCAAGAATACTCCAAAGTCTTTCAGAAAAGACATTACATTTCACACTGAACAATTAGAATTGTTTCATCAGATCACACTGATTAAAAACATTTATATTTACTGCCATTTAAAGTTTCTGAGATACATCTTCTGAGACTGAGTTATCTCGATGACTGTGATGACCATTCAAGCAATCATGTATAACTGCTGCTTGAGGCATTTGAAGCCCCATTTTCTGAAAGCCAGAAAACATGGCTCCAGCTAAGACAGAAGTGCCTAGAAACTTCCACTCAACTGCAAGACACACCAAGCTTTACAAAGTCCAGGAAAACAAAGCCCACCTCACAGTGGGTGCTATAAATACAGTAGCTGACAAACTAAGCACTGTTGATTCGGGTCCAATTCCAGCAGGGCCCCAGAGCAGCCCACAACCTTTCAGAAGAGAAAGGGACAGTCAGCAACACAAACAAGAATTACTCCTGGGGCAATTACAGCTGGGGTAGCTGATGGACAATCCTCAGCCAAAAGAACTGGATCCTCTGGCACAATTCCTCACGTTTCCCTATGTAAGCACATGCTGGGAGGGACAAGGTATGGCGTAGGACAGACAAGAGACACAGCTCTATTCTGCTTTGGTTGAGTGTGGGCATACCTTGAGGAGTTATAGCTGATTGTTCCAAAGAAAAGCTTTGCAGCTGCTTTAACTTACACTGCTCCCTGATCTCAATGCAGCAAGGAATCCAGCCGTGCTAACTTTAAAGTAACCTTTACCGGTCACTGACGCTGTTGGCTCTGGCCTTGGTGCGTGCCTGTACAGAAGGTAGCCCACAGTTTCTGCATTCCACCCCCAAAGGACTTGGCCAGCATGGCTTCACGGAAATGGTTCAGTTCTTGGGGGAGAGGGAGTGTGGGGTGTGTGTGGAGAATTACCATGGTTGCAGATCCCCCTGCCCCTTTTTCCTTTGTAATTCTTAATCATTTCACATAGTGTAAATAAACCACCCTGACCACATCAGTGGAACTGACTGAACCAGCCTTCCTCCTTCATCAAAGCAGTACCCCAGAATTCACAGACTATTCCAGAAGCCACCTGTGCATGGTTTTTCCATAGGCTTCTGACCCCTGCTAAAGCATCAGATACCCTGACTGTTACAGTGTGCCTGGTTGCAAAATGTGTTCAGCATTCAGAGCTGTAGAGCACACACCAGAGGGTTTTATACTAAAAACTTGAGTGAACACAATACAGTGCATGCATATTTGCAACTACAACTCTAACAAGCTGCATTCATACATATATAATCACCAAATAGTACTCTACCCACAGACAAAGAAATTAATATAGTCCATCTTCCAGTTAAGGATGACCTAAACTAGAAGCCATGTCAGAGAAGAGGTGGGGGAAGAATCCAGCAATGACTTAAAGGTAAACCACATCCTTTTCAAGTCCCAATTAAGTAACCTCATGGTAAGCTACCAAATTAGCTGTTTATTGGTATACATTATCTATATTGGGAAATAATACAGTGTTTGCATAAGCTTTAGCAAGTACCTGCTCTCTGCAGCACTCCCCGTCACAGAAGCTTTTTAAAGTAAAGAATTATCAGGAATGAAACTTCAAAAGTGACCCATCACAGTAACAGTCAAGAATGTCTTCCACAACATAACACAAGCATTTTTCTGATGCTTTATAGCAATGGTTGTTTAATGAACAGATTACAACCTCAGCCCTTGCGACAAAGCAGCCAAATAAATCCAAAAATAGTTAGAGCTTGAGGAGTTTTGTCTATCTAGACCAACAACAAAGTTGGTTTTAACACAGTAAGTTAAAATAAGCAGGGAGAAACATCTAGCTTGATGCTAAGTGAAAGCTTCTAGCTCTATCCTTAACTACACTAACCTAACCAATTCTCTCCCTCTTCCACATACCCCAGTTTGATTCCTGTTCCAATAAGCCATCTTTTTTATTTTCTCCTTGGAGACCACAGACATTGTGTTACATCATCCAGAGTAGTAATACACACTACAGAACAATATGTAAAGCTCTAAGCAGCTAAGGAGAAGAGCGAAAGGCTGAAATGAAGACCCTTACCTTGCACATGCTTCAGCAATGCCCTGCTGCTGTTACCATGAGCAGAGATAAGGATCATCTTGCCACTTTTCAGTTCTGGCACTATCTTTTCATTCCAATAGGGAAGGAGTCTATCAAGCACATCTTTTAGGCTTTCAGCCCTCGGGAGATTATCCTGAGAGACATCACTGCACTTATACCGGCGATCATTGTATATCTCTTCATAGAAAGGATGAGATTCGGTTATGGGAGGTGGAGTAACATCATAGCTTCTCCTCCATATTTTCACTTGCTCTTCCCCATGATTCAGAGCCATTTCTGCTCTGTTGAGACCAATCAGAGCACCATAGTGACGTTCATTCAGGCGCCAAGAACTCTGCATGGGGACCCACTCTTGACCCATTTCTTCTAGGATAAGCCATGCAGTCTGGATGGAGCGGCTGAGTACAGAGGTGAAGACGAGGTCGAATTCAAAGCCCAGTGCTTTAAGGTGTTTGCCACAGTTCTGAGCTTCCTTTATCCCATCACTGCTCAGCCTCTGGTCCACCCAGCTGCAGAAGCGATTCTCCTTGTTCCAGGCTCCTTCCCCATGTCTTAAGAGAACAAGCCTGTACTTAGCCATTTTGGTTGCAGCTTAGCACCGATGACAACTGGTCTGGCATCTAATAATGACCCATCTGGACAGAGACATGAGACAGATTCATCAAACATCCCACAGATCATGTATTGCAAGTAGTAATATAGCAGTAAAGAACAGTCAACTATCAATCAGAACAACTCAAGAAACAAGCGTCTGTTGAGTATGCTTTTACCTTTGAGGTCTCTTGGCTTTGAATTCCTTTCCAGCTTCATGTGGGAGGAAAATAACCACCCTCTACCCAGCTTGTTGCAACTACTCCACTTAACCAATTGATTAGTTGCAGATTTGTACAACCTGTTCAACCTACAGATTTCCTTCCTATGCTTAAACAGAGCCCCAGTGAATATCAGAGGCTACCTACCAGAGAAGCAGATCTCACTCTCACTGGTGAGCTTAGAAGTGAGACAGGGAGTCCAAGCTTCCCAGGCTCACACTGGCTCCGAGAGAATGTGTCTTTGCTGTCCTCATTAAATAACAGCTAGATATTCATAAGGTCAAACAGCATCTTTCTCTGCTCCTGTTGACTAAGCAACACCATCTGTGGATTGACTTCAATGGAAGATGGATTTTGACCACTCACACAAGCTTTTACAACATGGTGAAACGTGTGATGCCTGAAAGGTCCATCTGACATAGCACTGCAACTCTAAAAGCTCCATCTGATCATTCTGATCTGTCACAGACAAAACAGTAATGGAGGGGGGAGAATATAGAAATACAACTCTGCACTGGGAAGAGTGCTGTATACTAAATGATTATAGAATCACAGAATCATAGAATGGTTAGGGTTGGAAAGGACATTAAGATCATCAAGTTCCAGCCCCCCTGCCATGGGCAGGGACACCTCACTCTAAACCATCTCACCCAAGGCCTCATCCAACCTGGCCTTGAACACTGCCAGGGATGGAGCATTCACAACCTCCCCGGGCAACCTATTCCAGTGCCTCACCACCCTAACAGGAAAGAATTTCCTCCTTATATCCAATCTGAACTTCCCCTGTTTAAGTTTTAACCCATTACCCCTTGTCCTATCACTACAGTCCCTAATGAAGAGTCCCTCCCCAGCATCTGCCCCCTTCAGATACTGGAAGGCTGCTATGAGGTCTCCACGCAGCCTTCTCTTCTCCAGGCTGAACAGTCCCAACTTTCTCAGCCTATCTTCATATGGGAGGTGCTCGTACTTCCAAAACTGTGGACAGGGGGAGTCCAAGGTCTGATTTCTGCATACCCAACTACAGACTACATTACATAAGAAACATGCTTATGGGAGCTCCCACGATCTCAAATCAGTCAGAGCTGCTTAAATCACACTCCAAGTGTCTCAAACTCAAGTGCACTGTGATCATGAATTAGGTGAGTAGAATGGATTCAGCCCATGCATGCTGGGTTTTAGGAACTCAACACAGTATCAGCCTTAATCTTTACCAGACTTTCAAAAAGTAAAAAAGGTTGAATTCCTTAACAGCCTCAGTAATTTGATCTTGACTGTAAAGGCAGCTTAGTTCTCCTTTACTCCCACAGAAGACACTCTCATCACACAAAGGCGCGATGCAACACCTCCCCAGCTCTAACTTCTGTCTACTGCTACTGCTCAGGATTACAAAGCCTTTGAGGACTGAGATTTTCACAGAAATATCCAGAGGTATTGTCTGACACACAACAAACAGTTGGCAAATACAAAAGAAAGTCTTCTGTGATTTCATGCCAATGAGGTCTGGATTACGTGCATTACAAGGAGCATCTCAGACAAAATACCTTGCATGTTGTACTCACAATAATCAGTTGCACAGTAAGCAAAGAATTACCTATTATTAGGATTCAGGTGTCATATCACATCCGATACAATTCTAAACTACATCCCTTAAGATCCCAGATTTATAACAAAAATTAGTATCAGATGGCATTGCCATCTAAAGCCAAAGTGATCTTTCCCCAACATCCCATAGACAGGATTAAAGACTGCAGTGTGTTCACAGCATGAACTACTACACCAAACACAACCCCATAAAAAGCTCCATCTCTGCAAACACCTCACTGTTCAGACTGATTGTATTATCCACAGGAACAATGGATAAAAGTGGATTGCATAATTTACAAATCTAAATTAAGACTGAATACAAAAAATAAGACCATAGAGTAGAAGAGGGAAAAAAAATACCAAAATACATAAAACATACAAAGACCAAAGATCATCTGGAGACCATAAACTTCAGTTTCCAGTTCAGTTATATAAACTATTAGGCAGCACCACCATTCCCCTTATACTGGGCACTGGTGAGGCCACACCTCAAACACTGTGCTCAGTTCGGGGCCCCTCACTACAAGAAAAACATCGAGGTGCTGGAGCAGGTCTAGAGAAGAGCAACAAAGCTGGTGAAAAGCCTGGAGCACAAGTGTGATGAGGAGCAGCTGAGGGAACTGGGGTGTTTAGTCTGGAGAAGAGAAAGCTCAGGGGCAAACCTTATCACTCTCTACAGCTACCTGAAAGGAGGATGGAGCCAGGAGGTGGCTGATCTCTTCTCCCAAGTAACAAGCAATAGGACAAGAGGTAACAGCCTCAAGCTGCACAGAAGGAGGTTTAGACTGGATATCAGGAAAAAATTTTTCAACTAGGGGGTGATCAGAACAGGCTGCCCAGGGAGGTGGTGGAACCACCGTTCCTGGAGGTGTCCAAAAACTGTAGATGAGGCCCTCAATTACATGGTTTAGTGGTGGACTTGGCAGTCCTGGGGTAACAGTTGGACTTGATGAGCTTAAAGGTCTTTTCCAACCTAGCTGAATCTGTGATTCTCAAACAAGTTTAGAAAGGACTGGCAGTCACAGGGCTGTTTAAATATCAGTCCACTTATGGAAGTATTTAAGCTAGAAAGCCTTAGAAAACACATGGAAATAATCCTACTCACCTTTCTTATGGCAAAGGAACAACCTACACAAATCCCAGTACAGACTCAAGAGCTCCTTTATACAGAAGCCAACACTCTTGGCTAAGTTACCTGCAGGAAAAGAATAAACACTAAGTGCTCACACAGAAAAAGACCACAAGTACAAATGGTTATGCCAACCACCATTTGGCTCTCAGAGCTCTAAGAAAATAGAGCACACATCCCTTATATGAGCTGGGAAAGCTACCAACTTCCTTCTCCCCAAAAGATGCGAATGCACAGCTCCTGCATTTCCAACAAGGGAAACTGCTTGTCTCCCAGATGCCCCAGGATATCATTTACTCCCCAAGAGTTGTTTAGACTGCAATTACCATAGCTCTAGCACACAGAAACATACCAAAGCCTCTGGGACACCATGGAGGATACAGACAGCAGACCTGGACTCACCATAAAACAGAAGTAGAGAGCCCTGGCTCAGCGCAGAACAAGGTGCTCAGGATAACACCTTAACACCGGCAGAGCTTGCAGCAAAGCACAGCTTTAAGGTCTAAGTGCCGAGGCAATCATTCCCAAGACTCCTTTTCCAACCAGCTCACCTGTCCCTGTGCAGTGCACCTGCGTCCAGCCTTCCCTAGAACGGGAGAGGCTGACCAGAAGCAGAACAACTCCCGTATACACACAAGACTGCCCAGGAGCGGGACAGCCCATCACGCACAGAGACACGGAGTGCCTCACAGCTACTGTCCCCTCTTTAGGCGCTATCCGCCCCGAGCCCTAGCACCGCCACTCCCCCTCCCCGCAAGGGACCCCGGCCTGCACCCCTCGCCTCAGGGAGTCTCCCCGGGCCCCTAAAACTCCTCGCAGTAGGGACCGCCGGCACAACCCCCAGGGAACACCGCACCGCCCTCTTCCCCCTCAGGAAGCCCCACCACCACCACTACCATCCACCGCCCTCCCGCCACGCTGGTGTCTCAGCACCAGAGCGCTCACAAACTAACCCCGCGCTGCCTTACCCGGATGGCCGCAACCACCCCGAGGACACAACCAGAACCCCCGCCGCGCCAGGCGAATGGCGGACCCTGCCTCTTATAAGACCTCGGAGTCGCCCAGCCCACGAAGCTGGGGGGCTTTGATTGGCTGGTCCACAAGATGAGCACCGCCCTCAGCCAATGAGACCGAGCCTACGGGCTGTGACGCGAAGCGTGGCGTGGTACCTAGGGGATGTGGTGCTTGGTGTGGGCGCGTCAAGAGCCGTGTGCGGCCCTCCCTCAGCTCCCCGCGGGACTCCGTGCCCAGTGGATCCTGCAGGGATGTTGGTGTCGTGTCCAGCCGCCAAAGTCCCGTCCTGCAAGAGCAGGTCGTTCTTCTGCGAAGGGTCACTGCAGAGATGTTGGTCCCCCCGTGGTTCTGGACATGGCAAGGCAGGCGGCGTTGGCGTGGGCCACGACAACGGAGAAGTTGGGTCACGCCAGCCTGTTCAGAAACACAACCAGAAGCAGCGAAGCCGCTGACTTCTCCCGAAACGACCCTGGTCCAGCTACTGCTGCCTCAGCAGCAGATAGGCTCCTCTTCTCCAGAACCGCGGCTGCCTTGGTGCCCATCCACCCCGGAGCATCTCTGCTGCCTCACCCATGGCCCGGATGGGCATGCAGGCTGCAGTCAGAGGCAGGACAGGATCCCTAGCGCAGCCAGTGGATTCCCTCCTGCTCCCCGGCCCAGAGCCTCCTCCATAGCAAGGAAGGAGCGTAGCACCAATGCCTTGGGCTGCCCTCATTCCCAGGACATGAGGAAACAGGGCCCAGGGGCAGTTAAATAGAGGTTTTCCCAGGCAGGACTCCCTGTTTCTTCTGGTTTAAGGACCTTTTGGTTTGGTGAGCTGCAAGTGTCCAAAATCCCATTACTCGTAATGAAATACACAGAAAAGGAATTAGACGCAAGTCTTCCTAACAGTCATGCTAGCCACCCTCATACCCACAACCTGTAATTCCAATTCAAAGTGATCAAAACCAAGTGGACAGAGCAGCTCTGGCTAGAAATGGAGATAAGCGGTGTGGGAAGCTGTTGTCCTTTACTGCTTGTATTGACATAGGTCTGCTTTTATTTTTTAAAAGAAGCAGAGCACATCTTTTATAATCAGATTCACGTTTTCTTCTCTAAGACTTTACCCTTGAACAGCCACAATGTAAAGGTTAAAGGGCCATAACCTGAATGTATACTGAATGTGCCCTATCACCCTCTCTACAAGGGAGAGGGAGAGGTGATCATCCAGTCTTCATAAATTAAACTGATAGTGCAGGAAAATGGAAGATGGAGGATTCAGGAAAATGTAAGAAAATTTGGGGCAGTGGTGTTCAAATAACGTCTCTAAAGTGCTGTGAGGAGAAAGGGTGTTTTGTTTCGCACTTAGAGGGGTTAGAGCCTAACCTGCCAGTGGGAAAGAAGGACCAGCCAGATGAAGCACTGCTTCACCAGGCTTTCATCACAGCACAGCACCAAGTGTGCGAAGCACAGGCTGTCAGTGAGCAGCTTTGTATATATCTTTGGTTGGTACTGCACTGACCTTGTTCCTTATTTATTTGGGAAGCTCTGGAAAGAATTCTGCATCTCAGGGAGAATATTTTCAAGGTTTTTCCAGATGATAAGAACTATGCCTTGCCTCAATAGAGAAGCACAATAAAATCTGCTGCTTCTGCAAGATATTTCCACTGGATGTGACTTGCACTTACAGTTACACATATCACCCTTTCCACCTCACCCACTAACTAAAGGTAACGTTAACAATTATCTTTAGCCTCTATCAACCTTGTCTAAACCACAAACTATAAAGCCAGTCCAGCCTACATAATCAAAGTAGTGCTCTTAAGTTTACTGTACCGGAAGAGTTTGATTTGCCACAGATCAGCTCAAACTGGTCAAGAGAAATGCTCCCACATCGTGGCGCATGATGACACACCTGCATTCACCCTGCCTCTAGTCAGATCAAATCCGTCTCCTCTTGTACAAATATACTAGTGGTACAGCTCTGAATACGAGTGCATCACAGGCAAACTGGTTGATTGACTGCAAGAAAAAGAACCAAAGATCCTAGAGAGGAAAAAGAAAAATCACTGTTCTTGAGTATCAGTACAATGTATTGGCTGTACTTCAACCAATAAGAATGCAATTAACAGAAGAAAACATTATAAGCCAACATACAGTCATAACTACAAGTGAATAGACAGCAACTTGTGCCACACGCCAGGACCTCCATGGCCATTGAATACATACTTCTTATCTCCATTAGTCTTTGAGCAAGACCATTTCATTAGCAGGCCAAAACCAGCCTAATGACGTTGACTGACATTTCAAACTACACAAGGACAGAACAGTCAAAGCCATGTCCATGTGCGTGACTTCTTGCAGACAGCTATGCTCATTTGGCAGTGATTATCTCCCAGACCAGCTGGGCTGTGTTTTTCAGGGTCTCTGCTCTGGCGCCCTTCCAGGCCGTTGTGGAATGTTTATGGCCAAAACACAAGTTCATGCCACAACTTTCCTCAACACATAAATTTCCTCTAGGGTGCCGGTGTAACTGAACCACAATGAAGAAAGGCCTGGAGCTGAACAAGGCAACAACAAAACAGAACTGGAAAAAAAGAAAGCCAATTAATGATTGACGAAAACTGTGCCAACAAGGAGCTTTCTTCATTGATCATGCCCTTGGTACCTTTTGATAGAACAGTTACTTTGTTCAAAGCTAGATCAAGTATTTACCAAAGACCACCACAGACATACCCACTGTAATTTGCAGAAGACCCTGAGTTCTTTGTTTAGATCTATTTGATATAAAATCTGTCTTCATTAACAATTTAATCTTCCAAAGAAACTTCTGCAATCAAATCCTCACACTCTTTAATAACTCTGAAACTTTCTCTCTATAACTTCCTCCTGGGTGTTTTTGTACCTCATGAATTTATGTCTTCCCTGCTAGACTTTCCCTAGTCCTTCCCACCTCTGCCTGCTGACAGCATGACCATTCTCTCTGCCACCCAAGGAATCCTCACCCATTTCTTTTCTGGATGTGGGCCCATTTGGGCCATTCTGAAAACCTGACAGTATTTCCTCTACAAGTCCTAGATCCTGTCTTTTCTTTACCTGATGTCCATGCTACTTTTGTCCCACGTTCCTCTGCAACTTTCCTGATGATCCACCTTCATTCAAGGCCAAATCCGTATTGGGAAAGGTATGTGAGTACAACAGACTATGCAAAGAGATAAACACATCCTTATGCTCTCACATTGGCTCCATTCATCTCCCTGCCCATCACCCCCCAGTACATGAGTTATCTCTCCTCTTGTAAACAGAACACAAGCTTGATTTCTTACAAGAAAAAAAACAACCTCCAAATCTGCAAGTGGACAGGATCCTGGGAAGCCCACAGTGTGTGTTAACCTTCCTTTACCAGGACAGTGCTACCCAGGAGGGATAAATTCCTTGTAACATCATGGCCAATTTACACACCTATGTCTTCGGTCTCCTTTTGTATTTTTTTTACACCTCTGCTCACTCAGTTTTTCTGGTTTAAAAGGCCACTGTATTCATTGCTTTTTCATTCAGCTTCATTTTTTCCCATCCCAGGAAGACTGCAAGTCTGCAAGATATCAATATCACATTTTTATCCAAGCCTAGTCTCTAAACCCACTTGTTTAGCTGAATCCCAAGCAAACTTCAATGTATTCATGGACTGGAAGTGGTTTTCCTTGCTCCTGAGACCACAGCCACAGCTCACATGAAGTGCTGCACAGTCCTACTGGCCTGAATTCATTCATATTTCTCTATGCACCAGACCTTGGTCTATAATACAAGATAAAGCCTTCCCCGTCACAGGCCAGAGAACACATAGCAGGCAAGGACATGTCAATTCTACTTCTGTTTGTTAGAGCCACTCACTGCATTAAGCAGACAAGTGGTTCTCAGCATTTCCTTGGCTCAGGCATAGCTACGAGTGCGTAATTTTTCATCACACACCTACCCCTATTTGCCAATATATCACAGCACCACGTCTTAAACCAAGCCTATTCTTATCTAGAACCTGAGGGGTGCACCTGACAGAGCAGTGAGGCATACCTTGCATATCTGTTAGTCATCCAATTACAATTTAAGCTCTCAGCAAAGGGCCTTTTCCACCTTTTGTTATACTAGTGCTTTCATATGTAAATACAGTTGAGCTTTCGTCCTCTCTGGGTACAGAGACAATATATAACTTCACGCATCTGTGTGAATTCTCTTTATTTGAAACCCACAAGTATAAGGAGGCCAAATAAAGTGTTCTACTTTTGTTGTTGCTGTTGTTTCACTCTAACTCCATTGCTTGGGGGGAAATCTGTTTTAAAAAGAGCAGTGTGTAAGGACATAAACTAACCCTGTATTTGTCACCAGAATCATAGTAAATGCAGAAGTTTTTCTGAATCATTAAGTACCAAATAAATGACTGAGAAAGAGGAAGAAAATACATAAAAGCCTGCATTATACTCAGAACAGGTGGAGGGAAGCTGCTATGTGAGACATCATATTCCAAACCTGAAATGGAACTGAAATTTTTAATGTAATCCCTATGGCTAGGTACTAGTATTCTGAGGTAAAACATGTGACTTTTGTCAGTTCACCTGAAGTCTTGACTCAGAATCTTTTATTTCTGCATGTCCTAAGCTGAAAACATACACATGG